AGCCTTTGAAAAAGCCGTTTCGCTACTGAAAAATTGAACTTCCGACGTCAAATAGCCTTTCCTTTGAAGGCTCGTGAGACGGTCTGAAATCTCGGGACTGCTCAATCATTCAACTGTCAATATTGTTTGCGTTCTGTACAAATGAACCATGTTTAATGCTGTTTTCAGTATGACAGCGAGCGCACGAAGGAAATACATAATCGATTTGTGCGACAAACATTACGATATTATACTCTACTTTTTCCTGACGGACTGTTCCAGAAATATTTACAGCTAAGCAATATATCCTGTACATAGGTTAAGGGAGTATTCTCTAGCTATCACTGTTTCTTAAAACGGATTATGCCATTTCACTGAATATTTGCATAATTGCTGTTCATTGGTTGTCACATCAAAATAACCATCATTTTCACAACGGTCTCCGGGTTAAAAACAACTGATTCAGCACAGTTCTATGACAGTTCTCAAGTCGTTACAATTCAACCACCTAAATTCTAAGCACAGAAAGAAGCCTTATATTCAATATCCACGAGTCTGCCCCTTTGGTGTTTACGGTACGTGTCACGATTAGAGACAGACTTGCCAGTGTTTGCTCTGGCATTCTATGTACATGTCTAAGTTATCAAAGTGATTCCATTGATTTAAAGAAATGGAGGTTCAGAAGTGATTATACGTTAGCTTTCTTGCAGTATTTCAGATGCTCTGAACCTCTGTACACAGCGGATTTAGGAAGAAGCCTCATTTCGACCGCTTACTTTCAGAGTCGCACTATTTCCTTCAGTATAGAATACTCGTGACCATGGATGGGAGTTGACGCAGAGCAACACTTACTAACAGATAGCTTTCCAACATGTTTAGCTCTTTCTTCATAATCACAGAAACGTTTAGTTATCGCATTACAGTTGTCGTTTAACCGATTCTGTGTCGATTTTCGCATCTTGCCTACAGTAAATGTTATCAGTCTGAAGTACTTTCTCGACACCCTAATTATAAACAATTTAAATGTGGACCATAATCGAAAGGGAATTTTCTCGTGTCTGACATCTGTTCAGTATCTAGCAGTTTTACTCTATAACGCAGCATATTGCTAAAAGCACGAAAAGTTACGCGAGTTACTAAAAGCAAATGCCCATATCTTCGTAATATTTTTCAGAATTTGATAACTGAAATTGAGCTTCATGAAAAGAATAGAGCTTAGAACACATATTTTCATTTTTTACTGTCACTTTAGGACGAAAGAGATGCCAGATGATTGGCAGAAGAATTTAGCCACCGAGGTGGATTCGATGCAGAGCAACACCAGGGGAAATTTACTCACAGAAATCCAGTTCGAGGCAATGCGCAAAAAGAATCTTTCCATACAGAAGGACAGAGTCACCTCAGAGCTGCTCAGTATGAAATCTAGAATAAATCAGGCTCAGCTAAAGTGCCGAAACCTATCAACAGATATTCAGGTCTGCCATCAGTAATTTGTATGCATGATTATGGCGCTCATTGATTATAGCACAGGCTTAGCGAAAACATGGAGTGCGACCGAAAACTGTGCGAAGCCGAAACAGATGCCTCGCATGTCAAAATGAAGAACGAATCATTGGTAACCAGTTCAGTGATCTACATTGGAAAAATGTCTTAGCTAAAAACAATGACGTTTCCAACCTTCTGATTCCACTGCACGAGAGAAAAGTAGTTCAGACGATACAGACGCCTTGCATAAATTTATCACACATTTTTGCTTTCTAGTTTGTCTCATTACTTCGTTAGCCATAGATTTCATGCTCCCAAACTGAGATCCACTGGCTAACAACTCTGTACCTCTTCCATACAGAGTTTGAACATTTTATTCTCAACAATGCGAATGCTGTTATTGTAAATACGGCGGCTGTCGCCATCGTATAGCCGGCTCCAGGACGCCCTGAGCTACTACATTTAAACTCTGTCAATCACACGCAATATCTGCACCAAAGTTGAGTCAGTCTTTCTTCCACCGTTTGTGTACCCATGCACTGTCGGACAAGAGAGGACAGCAACATCAGCTTTGACAGTGTCTCACCAGGTCTTAAATTGTTCGCCTCTTTTCCGGTGCCATCGAAATATCAGGGCGGTTTTCAATGCATTGGCGGTTATTGTGTCTCGTGAACGTCTCAGCACTTGTCCCATCAACGCAGTTGCCACTCTTTCAGGAAAACAGATAGCTGGATGATGTTGCATCAGGCAGCGATTGTAGCGTTGGATATATAGTCGACAAATTGTCGTTGAGATAATTCGTAAACACCAGTGGTCAAAAGATTTTAACTCTATCATGTTATCGACTGCTATGGCCCAGCTCTCACATTAACAAGGAAGGGTGGAGCGGATATTAGCCTGCAGAGAGCTGAAAGAGATCCTTCGCTGTAGCTATCTGAGAAGCACTTTGACCTTTAGACTTTGATTGGGAAGATTGGCGTATTTGAAGGTGGTGATTTCTTCATGGGAAGTAGCACACCGAAGTATTGACTTTTCTCCTGTTCCGGGATTCCTTTGGGGAACATCGTTTGTTTGTGTGTTTATGACTATTCTCTCACTGTTACAGCAATGCATATGGAATTCTCGGGCATCTTGTTGCCTCCATTCAGCACCGTCTATACTTCTCTCACAGCAGTGCAATTATACAAGGTAAGTAAGACGCAAGTTTCGAAAGATTCCAATCTTCACTTATGATGAAGGATTCAATTACTGTAACTCGTTTCCGATGAGCCAATTGCAGACGCTTTACTTCCTCTGAACACCTGATTTGCAGTCACAGATCCATGCTTAAAGCTGGAGGCTTTAAAATACGTTTTATTGTGATTGTTGAGATCATCTGATAAGCAGAATGTCTCTGATTTATGGTGTTCACTGTGTCGGATACTTTTCAACAATTAGCCATTAAGCACTCGGCAAACTTCAGCGATTTGCCACTTTCTCACCAGACACTAAGCATAGCATTAAAACAACTCTCTCCCACCTTTTGACAGTATGACTGCGCCTCTTCATCATATATTAGCCTGTCAACAACCAGACAACGTCAATGCGACACGGCTAAATTTAGACATAGTTCCGCTGCGACCACCTGGTGATCTGACTCGATGCATGCGCCATGCGCTTAACGCGAGTCTCGAATAATGATCTGCGCCATTTGCGGTAGTAGTATGAGAAAGCAGTCCAGCCGGGTGCTTGGACTTCCATTTGAGGACGTTCCGGCAGTTTTGTGAATGCACTTATGT